TGACCAATAGTGGATTTATAAGTGCGTTATGTGTAACCGACCACGAGCAACGGTTTCATCAATTTTAATGTACTAATAGTTTAAGGATTATAAACTAATTCACTAAATGTAACTATAACTCGTTATTAGGTAAAATGGATTATGCTCATTGTCTCACAAAATGTTTTTTGTTTATTACTTTCAAAGATTTCACAGATTACGATGTGGGACCGATCAAATTCACAATATTGGTTGCACCTTTTATCAGTCGTTGTTTGCTTCACCAAGCTATTTATGTTTACAAAACATCGATACCGAGCTTAGTCGTCTATGGCGAAACAGATTCTGTTATCCCCCGAGGTCAGTACACCATTCTTTACTGTGAAAACTTATTCTTACTGTAGACCACCCACCGTACCTTTTATTTCTTACCATCCTTAATCGATAATCAGTCCTATACATGAAAGTAATTAGCGCGGGAATATTCTGATAACTATTCTGGTGTAACTGTATTGTCGTTTAATATTGGCTAGTCAAAACCCAGGATATGAATCAATAAGGTGGTCAAATTTGACATAGGGATTAACCGCGTCGGTAACTTCACTTATCTTGGAAATCTGATCGGACTTAATGTGTTGGTGCCTAACAAAATCTCACCACGGATTCAGAAAGCTCGTTTAGCTTTTGCCAACTTACGTCACCCATGGCGAAGGCAAAATATCCGTCTATCAATTAAAGGACGAGTATACTGCATGGCAGTTCGTTCTGTTTTACTTAACGACTACGAAATGTGGCCATTAAGGAAGGGTAGAAGACACTCGTAAGTTACTAGTATTTGATCACAGATGTCTTAGGAATATTGCCATCATTAGCTGGGATCATCGGGTAAATAATAGTGAGTTTAGACACAGGGTACTAGGGAATCTGGGTAAATCAGTTGATAAGGTTGTGAATCTTCATCGACTGAGATTGTTGGGTCATGTGCTATGTATGCTTAAACACCGATTACCACGACGCGCAATGCTGATTAGTGTTGGGGACAGTTGGAAAAAGGTTAGGAGCGGCCAAATTTAAACGTGGCATCAGTGTTTGAAGTCACTACTGGTCTCAACCATGTTTGTAGATACATACTGTTTGGACGGGGTCCACGCGACTATCGTAACCTGTGGTTGGAGACTGGGTGACATGGCCCAGAATCGATCACAATGGCGTATGTGTATGTGCTCTTTGTGTACCCGTAAACCGTGAGACTACAATCGCTTTATATCTTTCTACGAACTAATTCTTTCTTCCTGTATTATATCCTCGTACACAATCTTTCTTTTATATATTACTATCATTGACGTAACTAATTTTATGAATTTGGTGTTCATCTTTTCGTGTTAGTGAGTGAGGTATAGCAACTTGGACCGATGCATATATGTGTCTGGTCTTGCAGTGTAGCTGACTGACGTGACTGGATGCTTGATATATCGAACTACGTTTCATTATCAAATCACACTAAGTAATTCATAAGCTTTTGATTTCTTGGTAAAATACTAAGTTAACAAAATTCTTAAAGAAGTTAGCCGAGCGTGTCCAGCAAATTTCTTTTACTTAGGCCTAGTACCCCATTTTAGCCAAAGGTCATCGATCGGCAATTTCCAAGCACCCCATCCCGACCTCTTTCTAGTTGTTGTCAAGTGTTATTCGTGGTCTCAATGTCTCCCTCCAACTCCTGGAGTCATGTGTTTTTTGCTTTCTCTTTCTTTTCTCTTTAGGAACTTAAGTTAGGGATTGCCTTGTGCTTGAGCCTAATGGTTTCTAAAGTGTATTTTTTATCCACCCTCATCATATTTTCTCTATTCCATTTTCACCTGGCATCTGGTTTGTGGTAGTGGTGGTAGTTTTTCAAGTTTCACTACCACACAGTGCAGGTGTTTTAACGTTAATGTTGTAAATTCTTGCTTTGATCTTCAGTAACAGTTGTTTTAAGTTTCAAATATGCCTCAGTTGTAGGAATGTTTCCCTTGCTTTCCTATTCATACCTTGATATCTAAGTCAGATCTTCCATGTTTATAGATTATGCTACTCAGGCACGTAGACCCCCCACTTCTCCACTAAGTGTGTTTTGTTTGCTGCTCGCTGAATTGTATTTCTGGATCTTTGCAAATACCTCTATCTGACCTCACTACTTCAGCTGTCATGCTTTCTGGTCCTGCTGCTTTTCCATCCTTGATTTGTTGATGCCGTTGCCGCTGTGCATTGTTAGTGGAGTATCATCTAAGTGAGTTGTGTGTGTGACACTTGCATGTATGGTGGGTTCATTTGGGCTAGTTTATTTAAGAGCTCTTCGAATTTTTCCACTAATCTGTTTCGCTGCTACTGAATCTTTGTGGTTGGTTTTCCTTCTTTGTTCCTGACTGATAATTCTGATCCCTCCAAGCTTGTTGATTTTATTTCTCTATTCTATACATTTCCGCCTGTCAGTTCTAGTGCTCTTTCTGACCCGTTTGCTCCTGTGTTTTCGGCCTGTATCTTGGCTTTCTCTGCTTTTGTTCGGCCGTTGTTGACTGCTGACGTCTTCCTTATTCTAGTGCTTCTTACGGCCCAGCATTTGGCATTTTAAACTTATTGCTTTTCTAATCCTTTTCTAGTTGCTCTCCGTAGTAGGTTCTTCTAGTAGATCCCGTAAGACTTGTAACTTGTTGCTGAGATTTATCCCAAATTCACTAAGCTTGTTAGCGTCTCGAAGAAAAGTCATATTAAACATTTTTATTCCTGCCTGACCGATCGTCCAATGTTTGTTCAGCTTCATTTTTAATTTGGTCACCACCATGTGATGGTCTGATGCTACATCAGCTCCTCTCTGTTCTAACGCATTCAATAGACCTTTTGAATTGCTTGTTTATGCCTCTATGATCATTCTAATTTTCCGTAATGTGGTTCAGTGAAATTCATGTAACCTGCATGGATTTGTGATGAAAAACTCTACCGCTTAACACCATATTTTTGAAATCATATGGGCCTACCAGTGTCTCCATTCTTGTTCTTATCTTCCAGTCAATGTCCCACCATAATGCGTTCAAACCTGATCCTTTCCATAAGTGTCTTTACTGAGATAAAACTACGTCTGGAAGAGATGATTGAAGAAGTTTCCGTTAATAATAAACGCTAATTGGGCACTGATTATTTTCACAATCCGTTCTCTTAAAGCTTCAGTAACATGACCCAAGTGAAAACTACCGAACTCCTTTTAAATATGTTTTATAATTTATCCAAAAATTGGAGTACTCTGGATACTCTGGTCAAAATATACACTCGTCGTAACTATCTTAAAGCCAATATTATTCAAGGTAAATGAGTATTCACATTCCCAATACATACTGCCTAACCCAAAGTCTTAATTATCGAGATAAGTTTAAGGTGAAAACAAGTCAATCTTCCAAATGACTTTTAACATAAAATAAACGACTACTTCTATTCTCCTGGCGCTTATTAATAAACCTGTGTGTAAACAGGAAGGAGTAATGAAGCGAGGAATAATCATGGTAGAGAAAACATTTTAGGTATCCCTTAATGCAATATTTAAGTTTTAAAGAGGGTACTGTACCATACTTCTTGTTTTTTATGTTACATTTATCTACATCTAGTTTTGAAGTAAGTACTCTTAATTTGTGAATCCTTAAATATCTAACTTCGTCAGTTTAGATAGTCAAATTGATTGGATATCTAAATTAACAAGGGGGTTTCTTATGTTAAACTTTCTTTGTATATTTACAGAAATGTCTGAGGAAGCACTGGATGTATTCTTATCTGAACCAAAGGTATTTGTACATGACGGTGGTCATTACATTCCTACACACGCTGATGCAAAGAAAATATATACTGATATTGTTTCGAAATTTATCGAAAAGTAGATAAAACTTGCAGAATTCAGTTCCTGTCATCCTGCATTTGAAAACTCATTTTCTGTGAATTGATTTTTGTCACGCTGTAACAATTTGTTGTTAGTCTAGATAATTGATTATAAGTGGCGCATTTTTCAACAGCTAAGAACTCAAATCAACTTATCAAAGCTGGCACCTGGTCAGACACCTTTGCAAGTGTTTTTAATCTGCTTCAGTACCTTAACAAATTAAGTCGGTGACCTGAGAGTACCGTAGAAGTAGACAGTGGACACTGGAGTAGGTAGATAAGAGTTCAGACGTTTAACCAAGGTACTAAAATTTGAATGCTATAACCACTAGCCGATCTCGTCATCGAGTTAAACAAGTCAGTTATCTGAGAGACCCATAGAAGTGCAAGTCGTCATACTCGACTCCGGAGAAAAAGTATAAACCACTTTATAAATGATTAACTTTGTGTCAAAAAATTGTAAACATTCTCACATTTCTGATTTGGGCGTTTAGAAAACCAATCATCTCTTCACGGTCTTTTAAAAGGACTATGTCAGAAAATCACGATGTGAAGAAACAGTGCCAGATAAGGTATAGTCATCTTTATCAGTATATCTGTGACAGTTAACCACGACAATATAGCTTGTATTCAATCAGCTTAAAACTCTTCACTCTATGTCAAAATTATCCACTACTGAGATATCAACAATACAATAATAAGGGGTAGTGTGATCTAATTGTTAGATTAAAGCATATACATTATCGAACTTTTGATGTATGTGAAAAAGTTTGCTCACTATTTCATTACTGCTGTATTATATCTCATTAGCTGTTGATAGAATGTTAGCACGAATCGACTGACTGAATTTCTAGAACTACATTTATTTTAACTCACTACTTCTGATGATTCAACCAGAGACTAATATGAATTTTCGACTCTACGAAGATAGCTCTTCATAGTTATGTTGTTACTTGAGTTACCTGGTTTGCAATCTAGAGATGTCAACTATGTGTTAATCATAGTGAAATTAATTATCTCATTATTTTCATGTTTAAACTTCATACTAGAGTTAATTCTTTCATTGTCTAATCATTTTCAATCTATCCCTAATGTTATTTATTGTCGATATTTCAAAAAAAATTACTGTAGTTAAACTATTATTTATCATAAACTTGTGTAAAAATTTATTCTGGGAATTCATCGAAATGTTTGTCTTTTTCGTTCGCTAGATCTATTTTTTCATTGATACATTGACAAATCTCTTTAAATAGGGTCTCAACCCCATTATTGCTATCAAAATAATCTAATAAAAGAAAAAAAACAAGATTAGTGGAAAATCACTTTAGATGTTTAAGCATAAGTGGTAGAGTGTACTAAAAATTGGTTTAAACCCTTCAATCGTATAGGCCAAAATTATGTTTCCACTAACATTTAAACAATTATAATTCAATCTTTCGGTGTATGAAGACTTGTGTACCTATGGGGTATTGACTGTGACTCTGGTACTCTGAAATAAGGACGTAGGTCATCAAGGAGATGAAGTTTGTAACGAAATGTCCTCATTCACCACATTCCAGTACCAACGGTGTTGATTCATATAGATAGTGTTATACATTGAAGATGACTCATATCGTAGGACGAAAAATGTCTAAAATTATGGTAAATATTTGTTTTGGAACGACTAGTCGAGCGAGGGATTCTCTTGAAATGAGTCTATTTGAAAAAACAGTACAATGGTTTGCATTTTTTGTCGTGGTTTGTCCAGACATTGATTATAAAAAGAGAATGCAGACAAATGCCATCTCTCTAGCGACATGCTATAAATGAACGATATCGAAATGTAAGTTCTTCATCTTATTTCACCTATAAGATCTGGCTAAATTTTCTCAGAACACTTAGCTCGACTTCACTTTCTTTAAAATTTAGATACCTATAGTTCAAAGCTATAGAAATGTGTAGAAAAATTCCTCTTAGTTAACATATCTTTTTAAAAATCCAGGAGAACTCCCTATTAGACTGTATCGTTTTATTGAACCCAGTGGTTGTTTAGTTTCAACTGATAATTAATTTTGGAATGATGGCTTCCACTTTGTCTTGATTAGAAATCATGGTTTGTGGATAAAATTGACTGATATGGTTCTGAAATAAATAGATATCCTTATGGTTCACAGTTGATAATGGAATTGTCTTTGTTGCTTGAAACTAATATATTTCTTGAGGTAGATTAGATGTACACAAAGTTTTTATTTATACTAAATACTTTTTAGGTTTCCGCACTTGAAAGCCACATAAACAAAAAAGTTTATTAGGACGCACGAATTAATTCACATATATGAATTTAAACTTACATATAGAGTCTTTTGAATACTCCAAAATGTCTAGCGTTCTTAGATATGTTGGCCAAACATATTTAGCAAAATAATTTGGTGGGTCAGGTGTATTATATTTTCTTAGCCTAAAGGGAAATGCAATCATTTCATTTATTTAATAACCCTATAATGTTACACAACCAAAGCTTAAGTCGTCAAGTACATGTCAACAAGAACATTACGAGATGGGACATTTTTCATGAATTTATTGTAAATAAATATTGATAATGTTTCCCTATTTAGGCGCAATAGCTCTCCTTAGGTTGTTAAATATCGAGATTCTCAGACGTATCGTATGATAATTAAGTCTGGGCGAAATCTTACTTAATAATACTAAGAACCCTAGTTGTGTTATAATCGAAGGAGCCAATTTTACTATTGAGAAGGATTCCTGAATTGTTGGCTGTTAATATCAAGAATATTATGATATTTTAACTTCGCAGATTCCTATCATATTCAAACAGTGGTGTATGAAACAATATTCTTTTTCATAGACTATTCAATTCCCCCAGCTATATCGAAAAAACGACCAATTTTAAGACGGGCACGTTTAAAATCGTAGTATGTGAATTAAAGATTCTTTATGAAATAAAATAAAATTGTTAGTGCTGAAATGACTAATACGCAATGTATACGTTGACAAGTTATGTAAGATAATTAAAACAGCCTAATAATCCAAATAAATACGGATGGCATTAGAGTGAGAGAAATAATCATGTCATCACAAATCAGTTCAAATACTAAATGAGAAACTATGTGTCAGTTTAGTTAAGTTCATTATAAAATGGAAGTGTGGACTGAGTTCCAACCGGATTGTTTTCTCTTGAGTGAATAACAGTGATACCAAAACAATCATCATGATGTATCTATAATATCTCAATCAGTAGAAAATAAAATTTATGATGTTTCTTGTCTCCAGTGAACGCCACTTCAATTAATAAGTAAAAAAGTGGCTAACACAAAATGTCAAAAATTCCGTTTCCTACTCATTATGAAAATATATCGAATGCTCAATTCATTCGAAGCTATCAAGTCAAACCCTAATAATGATAACAATAACAATTATAGTACGAAGATATGAGGATAAAAATAATGGATATAATATGCGAACAAGGATTGTTTTAAGTTACAAAAATTTAGAAGTGGGAAGAATGTATAAAAAATAGTCAAGTTAGGTCATTACAGAATATGATTTATTGTTAATTTACTGACCTTCAGTTAGGGGAAGGGGTTAAATATATTTTTAGTTTTTAGTCCAAATGGCCAATGCTTAAGACACATTGGAGGACTTAGATTCTGACTGACTTTGTTAGGAAACTACCAAGTCGATAAACTGTCAGAAATGATCGATTTATGCTGACACTATAACTAGTTTGAACTGAATGGTTCGGTTTTGAGCTGTTTATAATTTTGATTACGCCTTTGTCTAACCACCCTGGAAGGCGTTCACGAACATGTAAAAGTTTCTAGAACTTCGGCTAACATGACTTGCTCCACTAAAGCATTCGGATTGATAATTACATTACGAGTTGACCGTTCTGGGTTGTTCACCCCTTAGTCTTGATGTCAACGTAGGGTGTGTAAAAAACATTAGACGTAGCTTCCTGGCATTGGATGCTCTCTGAATTGCTCCACATAATCTGTGGATTAATATCACACTGGCTGTATTTCTTAGGCTCGTGATCAGGGATCTCTTGAATTGAATACTCCGCTTATGTATCATTGCTTTAATATCACAAAAAAACGAGACATACTCATATGAGATGTACTTTAGAAAGACCCTGTTTGATTATTAATATAAGTTGTTCTGTATTTATTTAACTATATGATTAATCATGCTGTACAGTCTGTATATATGTATGTATGCGTCAAATTCATGGTTTCTTATAAGTGCTTAAATTGGCAACAATTTGGTTCTTTTTTTCTACGTAGTAAACGCTCAACTATTCAATCTATTTTTTGCCAATTCCCATTACAATTAGGTGGTTTGATGTCACATGAATTAGAAGTTCTTACAAAGTTTCACTTTGTTTTACGAGTACAACTTTCGATTTTCGAAGAAAAAATGATAGATTTTTGTGGCTCAATGTTTGACTTCAGTAATATCGTATGATTGCTATCGAAATGTACATCCCAGCTACTCCGGTACATATTTATCGACTTAATTCACGTTAAATAATAACGGAATAGAATGTATCAAATGGATTTCGAATTCGTATATTTCGCACACTCATTGATCCGGACAGACAATCTGAGAAACGTAGTGAAGGAGAAGCCAAACGAAATGATGTGCAGTAGAGAATGCGAGTGAACCAACTCGACTTGATATTTATATTCAGACAAAAATAAGTTACAAGCATGTGGTGAAGAGGGTGAGCAATGAACATATAGACGATCACATGAAACCATTTAGGATTAACAAGCAAATAATCAACAAGATCAAATGTGGCTTTAAAAGAATGACTAAGTTGGTCTTTCCAGAAGCTAGAATAGCCTATGTGGTCTTGACATAGTACCGGCCACTACAAGATCTTAGTATTAACCAACTACTTCAGGTAAGAAAGTATTAAGTTCCCTTTATAAGTAGTTTTTCACCAAGGACTGTGATCAGTCGGACAACGATTGGAAGTTTGGATGTGTTGATCATCGATTCCGTTCTCGTTTGAAACTTATCATCTGGGTACATTAATGACCTCTAACATGACTGATACCAGAACCTTTAAGTTTAAAGACTATGAAAATACTAGTTAGTTTTCTGTTTGAAAACTATAAGTTCAGTGAATTCTTTGGAAAATTAGTGTGCATTGTTCATTATTAATTGTATGTTGTGAGTTTATATGAACATTTGTCGACATTCGAACATATAGTTTTACGACTGGGGATAAACTCCGCGTTTTCAAGCCATCCTAGTCAGGAATCGCGGTCGAGTTTTTGTTTACCTAGTCACTCAGACGTAGGTACTTTGGGATAATTTCTGTTATAGAACTAATTGCAGACATTTCTTTCGCTGTGTTGTAGTTTTCCTTTCATCATGACTGTTACCCACTTGACATGTCTAGTATGATGGAGTAGTGTTCCCCTCTTAGGAAACTTTACATTTTTCATATACTTCGGTAAAAGCGACAAAGGACGAAGCATACTCTCCATCGTATATTTCGATGATGTGAATAATGTTTACCGCTTCATTTTGGTCGGTTGCCGGGTGCAAGGTCGAAATCGCGAATGAGAGTGGGGTTTATCCTCACTCTAGTTTTACACAAATAGGACGCCGAATATATCGATATTTTGTATAAAAATTATACTTAAGTGATCTCAGTGATTAAAATTTAACGAATTCCAACAAATGGATATTTGGATCTTCTCATCCATCTTATCTATACCCCCGTAGCCTGTGAAAAAAGACGTTTAATTATTCAATCATTTACTTTGGTTTGAAATTATCCCTAATTATTTTTAATGGTTAACAACACAAGTGACTATATGACAATATTCTAATTATACGTATACATTCCACTATCTAAATTTAATTATATTGGCTTTCTAATAAATAAAAACGATTAGTATGCCTCTAACAGTAGTCAGATGTTTCATTTATTCACTGTATTTTTATTTAACAATAAGATCCGGGTACATATTAATGCTCATATTGTGAACAAATTTCACATCTAATGACTTATTATATTATTATAAACAAGATCAGCATTTAAACACGATGGATTTATAAACCCTAATAATCGTTGATAATTTTGATTATTTCCCCAAAGAATCTTGGACCAGTTTAAGAGACGAAACGTTGAGATTAATCAAATTTCAATCGCTGAGACTATTCAAGTGTAATTTTTATACAAATTTGTTCTAATGCCTACATACATATAAAAATCTATACACGACCGTCATCAGAATCCACAGTTACAAATCCATAATTATTGTGTTACAATGATTAAACTAAGGAATATTTGAATAGGTAAATCAAACAATGTTATTCGTTAAGACTGTAAACTTTTGCATTAGTTAAGATCTAAATATATCAGTAATACATCATTTGTAAATTTAAGTTTTTTTGGAAAAAAGGGGTAGAAAAACTCATTCTACAATGTTACGTTACGATTGTTTACTTAAACACTTTATTTTTGAATATCCTATAAAGATTTTCAAACTCTGTACATCAGCCACACAACTTCTCAAGTTTCAAATGAAGGAAGAAGTGCCTGTCTGAACTCATTAGTCTAGAGCGTAAATATTTGACAAGCTACGTATAAAATAAACTACTTTCATCGTATTCCGCTATTACTGTTTTAGAGTTTTCAGTTCTTAATAAAATCCTTGTTTGTGTACTAAAAACTATTTAATAGTTTTTGTGTGAAGTTCTACTTGTGTTGCTTGTGAATATTAGTAGTTAGTATTTTTACACATCTTAGTTGAATTTTATTGGTTCACTATTCAACAGTTTCATATTCATGTAGAAAATTTAAATAGGTATCATATTATTTATGCCTTCGTAAAATCGTATTTCATATGCACTTTTGTTTAGTGGATATTCATACTTTTCAGTTCAGAAGTTAATCTGGTATACTTTATTCGGATGATTATATTATAATAACCACAAATTCTCTTTATTTGAATTCAGTCGTCTAGATGTTTTCGTATAAACCTTGTTAACTTGTCTGAGGTCATTTAAGTATCGAAAGATAACTATTCCTGAACTACGAATTAAGATCCCTGATTTGACTGGACATCAAGAACATTACTGTTCAAATAACATAATATCTGATGTTGAATATCAAAGCTTAACGAAATATTTATTGTTTGCATTTAAAATAAAAGCCGCATAAATTTGTTCTCTCATTTATGTATCCACTAAAAATGGATTAACTGTAAAAATAGAACCTACTTTCGTCTCTGCAACATATTTTCATAAGTTACCTTCAGAAATATTCGCAAATCCATCATATTCCGAAGTTCTCTGTATTCAAAAAGATAAAAATTGTGATACAATTTCTCATGTATCGGAGTTTTTTAGACACTGCACGAATATATATATATATATATATATTAAGGTGGCCTATGGGATTAAAAGAAGGCTAGAGAAACTGTAATCAGGATACGGTATCATTTTGTGAGTTCATTGGCTGTTGACTGAATGGTATCAAGGGTTCCAATATTCTTGCTTAGGGGTCACTTGACAGTTGTAATTAATGGATGGAGAACCTAAGTGTCAGTGTCGAAAGTCGGTGAACTTACGATAGATGTGTTTATACTTTACCTTCCTCTAAATCATGAATAGTGAGAACTGCTCATTAGTAACGTCTCTGACGGCGAGATTTGCTAATACTAGTTCGAGTCTCGTGGGAAGTATCACTTGTCCTTTGCTAGCGAGCTACAACAATTACAGAAAGTAGTTTCAAGGCTTCCAATGGATTATTTCTAACCAAGTAACATCGTTACATTATGTATACGATTTCAAGTTACTTAAGCTAGCGGTCGTATTGCGATTTGGTAGATAGAATTTAATCAACAACCATAATACTGTTTATTACTAAAGGATCAGTAAGAATAATGATTTTAGTCAGGGTATGTTTTCTGTTCTTTGAGTCATTCATAGGACGAAAATAACTTCTACATAAATGAAGACTCCGGACACCATTTAATACAATGAAAAACAATTATCATTTTGAGTGCAGATTTTTACAAACTTACATTTTATTCATTATCAGTATTCCTTCAATTAAAAGTATTCTGATTTTTTCTTCTAACACCTTTGCTTCACACCATAATTTAATAAAAGTAATTATGCCTTCCCAGTTAATTGCTGATTCACCTTGAATAAAAATACATCACAGGTTTGGCACTGAAATAACTCTTCCATGTTTTGAAAAAGCAGATTATTGTTAAGTAGGAAAACAACTAATCGATATTAGGCTTTTTACCGTTGAATCTGTGATGGTAACCATCAAACAGGCTAATTGTTGTATATTCTGTTTCCTGGAGATGTTCTCTCCACTTGCTAATTAACTCAATTTTCTGTTTGTACGTATTTTATTATTATTATTACCCTCCTTACTATGTGTAATTAGTGCTTTCCTCAATCCTTATGAACCATTGATAATACGCTATACCTCTGTTTATTTTTATTTTGACTGGTCTAATGATCGATTACAAACGCCATGTACAATTAATATTGCTTCACATTCAGTGGATCGGTTGTAGTTTGACTGTAATAGTATTGTTTAGATATGAATTTAGTATGACTAAAATTAAAAGTGAAGTCAGTGATTCATCAGAAACTGATTATATGTAATTATCTGAAATATATTACAGTGATCTGAAACTGCTTGCCCGTGTTCTGTTTTGCAAAGATGATAATAATGATAGTGAAATTGTTAAATGCTTCATGGATCTAAATACAAAAAAAATTTTGCTTTTATACTCAAAAGTCTTTAAAAAGTTCCATATTATTGTGAATTACACTTTTGTATATTCCCATTAAGATTAACTTCCATATTAGTTTTTCTTTAAATTAGGATCTCAGCTCAAACACTCAGTTAATCTAATAACGATCTACGTTATTTTAAAACTATTCGACTGGTAACAATATAAACATTATAACCTTCTTATGCCAATTTCTGACTTTCTCCTTTATTAATAGATATAAAATCAATAAAATGATAACTTTCTGGATTTAATGAATGACTGTGAAAATAGAATTACTTACTTATACAGCGTACTAAATTAATTGATGTTGATATTACGTAACACTAAACAAATATTCACTTTTTAAGGTAAATACAACTACATACAAAGACAGTGTTTAAAATAGAATAATAGAAAATAATATTTCATTGATTCTACTCATCTAATACTGTAGTGAATAAGAACCTGAGTGGGAACAATTGGATGTATTTGACACGAAATTACAGAGCATCTCACTAAAATCTGAGAACCATATAGTAAGTAGTTAATTTGCAAAATATCAATCCATCGTCTCAAACTTCACTGTTCCTTTCGAAAATATCGGTCTATTGTCTCAGATTTCACTGTCCACGCATTTTCATATCAATTGCGTTCCGTATCCGTTCTTCCCTCGTCGATCTTCTGCTGAAATACATTCTGTGCCTGAGCACTGTTATATACTACTTATATGGATATAAATAACCTACATCAGAATACAGCTCAAAATTTTTTTCAATTTCAATCAGTATCCTTTCATAAAAAGGAGTTCGTCTGTTAAACCCAAATTAACTCCAATAACTCAATATCTAATGATAAGTAAAAATTCATTCAATGAAGGGAGTATCTTGACAAAGGTGAATAACCTCATATAAATATTATAGGTTCTAAGTTTGTAATTATATTGTTTATTTCTTATAATATGAATTTTGATCTACTATTGCAATACATATTTAATTTTTTGTAAAAGATTCTATCACTAAATTAAATCGTTTTATGAATCAATGAGATATGAACTTCTCACATAAAACCAAACTAAGGAATTATGTAACTCACAGTCGAAATTTGGTTCATTTGTAATAGGGTCTCGTATATGACGTTTATCGTTATGAGGCTGAAAATAAATAATTTTTTACAGTAAATAAAAATAATACATTTGTATTATCGCAAAGAATAGAAAAATTAGATTGTCTAACGTTTCGTGTAAGCCACTTCTTCAGATAATATATAACCAAATAAAATTAACTCAGGTTTAAATAGATCTTAGTGTAATATTATCATTTTAAAGATACACCAAATATTGAATATATTCTGACTGTGGCTAGCAGTGGAATCAGAGACTTGCAATTCATCTTACTTCAAACTTGTATCATAGTGTTGGTGTTCATACTGAAACTCAACCCCAGTACCTATTACCTCAAATGGAAAGAAGCTATTAATTAAAAATAATTGGACTCATCAGTTGCAGTCGTCAATATCAATAATAGAAAAATTTAAACGATTACATACAAACAAAATGTTCATCTACAACAAGATTATTTGTGATCTATAGAAAATGGTTTTCTAGACTATATACATATACATACATTCCCAATCTTTGTTTATTGGTGGGTATCAACTGAATGCAAAATATATGTTCCGTTACACTTAGGACTTACCAGTCAGGTGCACTTAATTACGCCTGTTACTCGTTGAGTAACAAATGTCGCCCACCAGAATTCCCCATCAAACTCTGTCCTGGACAATCCTTTCCATTTGTTTCGAATTGCTATTTTTTCTTTTGATGTTTGCCTCCATTTCCCGACGCAGTGTTCCTTGGTCTTCCTCTTTTCATTCCTACCCACCTCCAGCGTCTTTTCATAATTTCCTCTTCATCTGCAATCTGGTTTGTTCTCTCCAACAGTATGCTGTTACTGATGGTATCCGGTCAGCGGGCACTGAGTATCTTGCGTAGACAATTGTTTGTAAATACTTGTACCTTTTTGACTATTGATGGTTGTGGTCGTTCTCGAATTTTCAGTTCCATATAGTAGAACTTTCTTGGTGTTCATATTAAAGATTCGGAATTTGATATTGGTTAACTGTTGTTTTGAGTTCCAAATGTTATTCAGTCGTAGGGATGCTGTTCTTATTTTAGCAATCTTCGCCTTTATGTCTACATCAGATCCTCCACGTCCATCGATGATGCTATCCAGTTACGTGAACATTTCCACCTCTCCCAGAGTTTCTCCAAGTGTGATTGCCTTGGTGTTCTCTGTGCTGGGTTTGAGGATCTTGTTTTTTCCTTTGTGTATGTTGAGGCCTACCGATGCCGAAGCTGCTGCTACACTGTTTGTCTTGACTCGCATGGGATAGGAGGGCCAAATCGTCTAGTTGCATCCAAGCTGTCTATTGTATTCCGTGCTTTCCCCCAGATGTGGAGGTCATCATAATTCAGTCAACCATCAGAAGAAAAAGAAAGGGAGAAAGTAAACAGCTTTGTCTGACTCCTTTCCTCACTTGAAATGTGTCTGTCAGCTGTCCTCCATGAACGGCTTTGCACTGTAGTCCATCGTATGAATTTTGTATATTGACGATCTTTTCAGGTACACCATAGTGTTGAAGAAGGTTTCTACATGGTCCTCCTATTCACACTGTCAAACATCACTATACATTAACTCTCTTGACTATGAGAAAGCGAGTTCCAATCAACTGACTGTTCGACGATTATGCGTAATGTCGCGATTTGGTCTACGCACGATTGATCCTTTTGGAATACGACCTGTTGATCTCGCAGCTGAACGTCTACTGAGTCTTTCATCTGGTTCAGCAACACTGTTGAAAACCTTTCCTGGTATTGACAGTAGTGTGACATTTTCTAAAATTTGACTCAATCATTATCTGACAATAACGATCGAAGTCGGAAAATAGATAAGTTACCAGATACTGAATCAATGGTCTAGAGATATCATGGTCAATGTAAAATATTGAGGTCATGGACTCGACTCCTTGTGTTCATTTATAAGAAACCTTGATAAAAGATGTGTAAAAAATTCCACTGGTCTTTCGTACTTTTCTGGTTGAGATCCCTTTTTATAAATGAAATATTTTTTTAAACTAAACACATTTTTTACAAATTATCCAACTACATAATAATGTATATTACTATCCCATATTACTCCTAAGTTTTGTATGTTAAGTGTCATATACGAATAAATTAGCAAAGTGAAATGAACTTTTATTTGGTTTACAAATTAAGATAATGTAACACTTAAATTTCTCACCCAGTAATAATCATCCATTTGTAAACATGTAACATTGTAGCCAATAGATTGTAGATATTCAGTAAGTTTTCCAGTCATCGTTGTTTTTCCAGAATTCGATGCCCTAACAAACAAAGTATTTTAAGAAGGAAAAAATCATCCTGCTTTTCATTACATACAAAATGTTAAGAAATTTATGAATAACTGTGGTGTTTAAAATAGTTTTGTATTAATAATTATTTTAATTCATCGACTGAAAACAGAATGGGGACTTGATAAGATATAAATGGTTCACATTTTTTTCATCATACGGATTAGAGTAAACCAGTTTCTAATTAAAGTTATCCGTATTTGATATTACCCACTGTCATATTACAAATCGTAAAAACAGAATTGCAGCTTTCGAATTTCAATATTATAGAATAGTCAAATAAAAAAATATATACTGAATTATACAGAAATAAAATTTACTCTAAAATCCTTTCCGAACTACTTCTGGGAAGATATCCGTAATTAGAAATCCAACGTAAAATTTTATAACTGGCCCAACCATTTGTACAAGTTGTACAGACAAACTAAGTAGTTACAATTTCATAGTTTAGATTATTACACTAATCAGAAAAATGTTGAGTGACCTCAACTTGTCAAAGAGGTGACATGTTCTTTAGAAATTGTAAGTGAAAAACTTCTACACTGGATATTAAGCTGGTGCTACTACTGAGATTCGAACACATAGTTCAGTATCATTACTAAAAATATCATTATTATTTTTATTACATTCCTTTCACAACTATCCCTTAATAAAGGGAAACATTTAGACAATTTGCATTTTAAGGCTCGTGAAATAGATACTAATGACTGTCAGTTCTACAGTGATCAAGTGAATGTCTATTAATATTTGGGACTGAAACCCAAGAGTTTTTGTTCCTAGAAATATGAAGCTGTCTACTAGTTTTCTTTATCATTTCTAAAGTGATTAGTATTACTTGTCACTATCCTAACATTTTGAACTGGAAGTTGACACTAACATTTAAAATCATAGCTTTTGGTGTAATAACCAGTTAATAAGTGATAAAAGATTCTTATGTTGTCAAAATTTAAGTGTCGACCTAATTTTATCTGAATGATGGTCACTGATCCAAATAATTCAATGTCACAGTACGGTTGGCAGACCTCCTCTTGGTAAATTTTATGCATAAATTTAAAACATGTAACCATGACTTGTCATACACCGTTAGTCACTGAATATGATGCTCATTAGATTTAAATGTTGACTGAGTTGGGAGCGTATTAAAAATCCATTAAATGCTCCTGGTAAATCTTGACTACAAAGAAATCTATACTAAACATTCAATTACTCAACAACACTAAACTTTTATCAAAAATGGTCATAGTCCATTTCAGTAAGGAGTCCTAATTTATTGTCATTTTTTCAAGTACCATCCATAAAGTTTTCCCTCGAAATAATGGTTATGGGAAATACAACTGTTAATTCATTGATAAAAAAAAATCCATTGAGTGTTAGAGTAATTACCCCGCTATTCCGATAACGTACTGTTTTGTTAATGTGTTCATCTATAATAGTTAAAAAGAAAAACATGGAATTTGATTTTTAATATTACTAAGGTTTGCGTATTGACAGCAAAAACTTGAAATAATAATTTTTTTAAAATTCACTAATAAGAGTTAGACAGTAAGGAACCCAGATAAAAGTTAAACATTATTACGGCTCGCTGAAAAGTAATTAATATAAAGATATCTGATTCTCAATACTGGCAAAGTCCAATCGAAATCTGTAATAGGGTAACAGAACCCGTTTTTACAACGCTGAGAAGAAATTCGTTAGATGTAAAATGATCAGTGATAATCACTAGGAAACTTGACTTAGATTTCGTGTGTATTTCTTAATATAAAAACATACTGCTTTTGTACGCGAATGCCAAGATTCAGGTATTTGTATCAAGATATAGTCAGATGCTACATTATTAACAATATAATAAAGTTGTATTAATTACTATTTCAATAACGAGAATGTGATAAATACTTACTGTTATTACGTCGTTATATATGCAACCACTTTGACATTTTAAAAGCTTAATTAAATTATTGGCTATAAAGACATTATTGACAACAGACAAATAAATTTTATTAATCACTCAATGAACAAATCTCTAATCCTAGTGATTATTGTCAATATTTTTTACGGTCTTAGTACTGCCTAGTTCTATTGATGTTCAATTATTTTCTTCTCGTAACAACTCACATTCATGTTTATGATCTTGTCACGAAATTCAGACAACTATACTCTTGAACTATTTACTTTCTCGTCATATAAATGTTCAGTTTTCGATCAGTAATATTTGCTTTCTAATTTTGACATTGATTTCCACAGCCGTAGTCAGCAGATTATTCAAAATAATGAAATTATAGGGAACATTTAAAATAATCTTAAAATTATAAATATTGCTTTGTAACTGCTATCATAAGATACATGTAAACACTCCTATTTAATCAGTCAGCTTTATTCTTGTAAAATGAATATGATGCTGAGTAGTGCGTTTGGTGTCAGTTTAGTCTCTCATAGTTCCAAACCAGTATAACTAAGTTATATAAATTAGTTTCGTGACCAGAGACAACTGATAAATGATAACTTACTGATGATCAACTTATCAGTCTTCTTATATTCATTTGACCATCTTTAGAGGGGTAAACTTCACAAAATTATATCTGGCTGTCTAGAAGACGGAGTGACCAAATATCGAAACATACTTGGCTTGTTGTATCTGATTAATGGTATGCAATTTATAAAACGTTTTCAGTTTCCTATCGTATTCCAAATAACTTGAGCCATAGGAATAAAGTTTAATAACTTACGCATTCGAAAAATAGTACATTCAACCACTTTTCCAAACTTAACATTCATAATGAACAAAACAATGCTAATAAAGCCGCTTTGTTTTGTCTGTTTCCCTTTACTTCCATCGATGTTGGCAATACCTCTAAAGCTTAATTTGTTCAATTATTGAAGCACTAAATATAAACATCGTGCTTCTACATTTCACGATATTGTTACTAAACTAACTCAGTTATGGATTTTTACCAATTTTTCTTGCACTCACATAACTTAAACCAAAGTTTTTACAACTGACTACCATACGGCATATATTATCGTACTTAAACTACCTAAAATAAGGATTAGGGGACTACTGGAAACCAGGAGGCACTAAAGAGGTATTTCATCCTAAAATTAAGCTTTAGTCAGTACATAAATGAGACCCTACACGAGATAGAATTCAGTAACTTAAGTTTTCGTGTCAGTCAACGAGTTGGTACTTAATGGTTCATATTTTAAATTCTATTTGATTCATTGTCAGTCACATTATCAAATAATTTTACTGACAGCTTAGTTCCTGTGCAATATAATTACATTTTCATTTTTACATCATAAAATCATCTATATATTTTTAAAAAAATAACTCACCGTAGAATAAAGCACAAAATTATTTATTTACCCGCCAATGGATAATGCTTATAAATGGGTATATTATTACTCGACAATAATAGGAATGTATTGTGTGATAAATTTACTAGAATGTTTTATTTTATTGAACAAATAATCTCTATTATAGACCAAAGGGAGTCAGTCCACTTAACTAACCAATTGATTTCAAAGGTCAAATGTGTGATATATTTATACAAATCCAAATCTTAGGCATGTGATAACCTTGAATGCATTCAGATAAACGTTTGTCTAGTTACCACTTAATGCTTTAATAATAATGTCAGTCATATTATAACCAAGTACACTGGAGATTAGTAAAACATTATTTACGTGACAAAATTCGAAACAAATATTATAAAAAATTATTGTGTACAGCCATTAAGCAATTATAATTTTAGTACATAAAATAAAAATGCTGTTCAATTAAAAAAAACAATATTTTTATTTCCAGAACCACTGCAAACTATCTCAAATTTCACTCTGTCAACTTTCAGTTCCGATTGTCAAACTGTTGTCATTTCACACTTTACTTATTACTCATTACTATCGATTTCTTTATTATAAAATGTAAATGCATCTTAAGCGCCTACTGATACGTCAAATCAACTTTTTGGTTCCTCCCTATTCCAAATTTTTTCATACATAGTGCTCTGCCGATTCACTCATTACAAAATCCACCTTCATTCTACATATAATTGACTGGATAATGAGTCCAGTTATTATAGATCCAATATGAATTTATGTGGGGATCAATAGCATTTTCTAGATTAATGTCGTTTGTCGATCACTTCTTCAAGTTCACTAGTTCAACCTATGCTATTCTATTCTGTTGACCTAAGGAATTCACTGCAGTTTTTGGTATTTTGATCTGATGAAATTTGCTTATTTATACTAGATTTAAAATTTTAACACTTTTTGGTGTAAATCGTACTGGAAAAGCTTTGCTTTCTATATTCTTGTTAAAACAATCAGTTGCCCATGACATGGATTTAAAAGTCTTGATTATTGTAAGAAAGTTGGTTTAATATTTTTTGAGCTATTTGTTAATTTTTATTACAAAGAACGTCTACTGAACATTGTATAATCAAACCTTAGGAAATCTTCTTTGTGGAAAGGAATATTTTTACTGAAAATGTAATCTATCTGAATTTGTCTTTCGCTTACTTCTTTTACATTTGATTATGTCACAAAATGATAATATTCAAAAAGACGAACAAAATGAATAGTTTTGTACCGATAACAGACGGCAAAGAAGACAATGTAAATTTTCGAGAATTGAAACTAACTTCGAATTACGTCATTCAAAATCTTTAGTTATTGATTTCTAGCATTCTAAAGATTTTAACTAGCTTATCTATATCACACAAGCATTTTGTGGCCTTATTAACAAACACTGTATCTAAATAATGTTGTAAATGAGTATTCTATATTTCTGATTTTTTAGTTTCCCTGAACTTATTGAAAACAATAGTAACAAGAATGAGTATGTATATTGATTTGATGGGAAGCAAAGATTATAACCAAAAATCAATTAATATGAAATTCGAACAATCTGAAGTTCTCATCAGGTTCTACAATTATAAATCCAGATTAATAATCCATAAAATTGACCAGATTTAAGGCAAAATACATCATTTGGGAATTGTAATATGTGAATCAGGAATTGTTTGTTATATAAATAAAATCGTTAATGTTGGGACGACTAATATGAAGTGTTAACTTGAATCAGTTTATAAGCGAAATAAAATTGTGAGATAAATTATCAGAATAAATATGGTCAACATGGGGTAAGAGAGAGAAAGAATATTGTGATTACAAATCGGAAATTGCGTAATATGTAAAATAATTAGGTCAACTATAGTAGATTCAGGGGTGGATATTGAATAAATGGGGATAAAATAGCCTTCCCAGATGTTCTGCTTACAAGGAGAAAAGATGGAACGCTAAAAAGAAACATAAACAGGAAAATGAGCTGGACGGGTCAATATACTAACTTTCTCAGTTTCTTTTCAATTAGTTTTTCATCATGGCTCTACACTAATATATATACGTTTTACAATAATAATATAATACTCATCGAGTGGATACGTTACGTAATAATTACATAATGACATTTAAATTAACATTAATTAATTGGAAGAAAGAGGATGATTAATATTCAAAGTGATCAAGAAGTTGCTTAGTTGCGTAATGTAAGAAACAAAGAAGGAACAGAATTTTAACGGATGGTCAATAGGATGGTAGTTACGTAAGAATCAAGAGATGAATGTTGAGAAGTTATTAAGTTCAAAAGCAACAGAAATAAAATTACAAAAGTTTAAAAAATTACAAAAGTTTTAAAAAATTAAAAAAAAAAAAGATGGAAGAAGTATGAAAAATAGTTCTTTTGAAGGAAATCTTAAACTGATTCTTACGTAACTACCATCCTATTGACCATCCGTTAAAATTCTGTTCCTTCTTTGTTTCTTACATTACGCAACTAAGCAACTTCTTGATCACTTTGAATATTAATCATCCTCTTTCTTCCAATTAATTAATGTTAATTTAAATGTCATTATGTAATTATTACGTAACGTATCCACTCGATGAGTATTATATTATTATTGTAAAACGTATATATATTAGTGTAGAGCCATGATGAAAAACTAATTGAAAAGAAATTTCTTCGCTCAATTCGTTCCTTCTTTATTTACCAAATGGCAAAATAACTTTCTCAGTTTCGTTCCTCTACAACAAAAAGGAACCTTATCAAGACACTACATCATACAATCAAGACTATATACACTATGGATACGATTGAAGATGAAACAAAGACATTGTTTACAACCCTGAAGGAAAATGGATATCCGGAGAAATTTATAAATAAAAACTTAGCCAATAAAAGACAGCGTAGAGAATGCCCAACGGTAAATAAAAAGCCTCTATATATACGCTTATAATTCAGAGGTGACGCTTCGAGTGAAATGTTAAGACTTAAGTTAAGTAGATCAATTCAAAGGACTTTTAATGCAGCCAAACTACTACTAGTATTCTCCACACGACCAATAATCACTCCGAGGTTGAAAGATAAATTACCTAGACTAGCCACCTCCTTCTGTATCTATCAATTCAACTGCTCCTTTGGAGCAAGTTATATTGGCAGATGTTCTAGGAATTTGTACATTCGGGCTCGTGAGCACCTACCCGTGTGGTTAAGCAAAGGTGTTGTCAAAACTGTTAACAGCTCCATCTTAAACCATTTAGTCCAAACAGGACATACAGCAAATATGGAGCAATCTTTTGCAATAATCTATCGTGTCCACAGCAGTCTACCTAATTCCGTCAGACTGCGAATCCTACAGACGGCTGAAGCAATTGCTATTCGGTTCAAAAAGCCAGAGCTTTGTATCCAAAAGAAGTATGTTCATCCACTCCTTTTACTCTGGCCAACTAGCTAATAGTCAATCTTATAATGTGGTGACGTAATCTGATTACTGTTCATTTTATGTCCCAAACTTATTATTATTATTGTCTTTACACTTGATAACCCCTTTTTGAGGAATTTATTCAATATCCACCCCTGAATCTACTATAGTTGACCTAATTATTTTACATATTACGCAATTTCCGATTTGTAATCACAATATTCTTTCTCTCTCTTACCCCATGTTGACCATATTTATTCTGATAATTTATCTCACAATTTTATTTCGCTTATAAACTGATTCAAGTTAACACTTCATATTAGTCGTCCCAACATTAACGATTTTATTTATATAACAAACAATTCCTGATTCACATATTACAATTCCCAAATGATGTATTTTGCCTTAAATCTGGTCAATTTTATGGATTATTAATCTGGATTTATAATTGTAGAACCTAATGAGAAATTATTGAAAAGAATATTCTTCGTTCATACAATTGTGTTTTCATATAATGGGAATTTTTCAGCGATTAAAATCTGAAGTTCAGTAAGATAATTCTATGCGGGTTTATGAAAGATTCTGTTAACAAATATTTGAAATAATAAGTAAGTAGTAACAAAGTTAATTGATATTTATTTACAAGCAAATATCAATAGTTAAATACGTAAAATGAGTGATAACGGTCAATCATTGACGACTTACAATCTGGCATATGTGTCCACCGCTCCATGTTACTAGATCCCATTAGAACAGCAAAATGAAACTGTCAAGGTAAATTTCAGCGTAGCAGAGATACGAACAGTATTAATAGTAATAGAATGGAATGAAGCACAGTATGATTCGAGAACTTTTTTAGTACAATAAATAGAATGTATAGTTATAATTCACGATTATCCTGTTAGTCTATTCATGTAATAAAATCTTATTCAGTTAATTAGATTCTTTATTCATATTTTTTTCCTCGTTTTAGCAGACGTAATAATATGTATTTTTTTAAGTATTCTGTCGAGAGGAAAATCAATCGTTTTAAGAAAACTTGATTTTTATGGGATATATCATTATGAAGCTTTTTTAGCGTCCTTAATTTTCTTTAATCTTGTAAATTTCACTTAAATGCATTCTTGTTTCCAATGTCATTAATTAGTTAATCAAATCTTCTTTTTTTCTAGATCCTCACCTTACAGAAAATAAACGATTCCTATATATACTGTAATCTCTATTTTCATTAGTACCAAGTCCTTGGTTAAGTAAATGTTCAATTTAATTAGAATATTGTATAATAATAATGATAATAATAAGAAGAAGAATAAATCTATTGACTTAAGTGAATCAATCTGTTTACAATTGAATTATAGTAGTAAAGGAAGAAATATAGAAATAACATCTTCAACAAAACTGAATGGCCAAAAGGTAAATCGAGATTCTATTTAATACATAATAACAGTCGAAATATCAAAGTTGACAAAAAGAAAATAAAGTAACTGAACAATAATGATAATGTGCAGTTCTAAAGAAATGAAGCAAGTATTTGAATAGAATGTAACAATAAATGAAACAACTCAACTAACAAACACAACAATAGTGAATTAAAGTAATTCAGTAAGAAAGAAAACCAGTTATGGAACGAATATTCAAATGAAATTTCAACCATGTTTAAAAACCATCATCTATTGCCTTTAATTTCCATAGCCTTTAATGTACAATTTGAACTGATCATTGTTACTTCTCCAGAAGTAGAACAATATCATCGAAATGTCGGAGTT